CTTTATTTTAATATTATGTATCGTTAATCCTTTAGTCTCAATTGCAATATGTTTTGGCATTTCTAATATACCTTAACATTTTTGTTTGCCATTCACTGTACTCATTTTCCTGAGCTGGATCTACTTAAAGTGCTTTGTTTTTCCTTCTACTTTATTATAAATTATGTGATGCCAAGAAAGGACATATTCTTGAGGGGCCACTACTTTCCTCAAGGAATCATAGATTGTGCTCACTGACACAGTCATATTATACTGTACATGGTACCTGAAAACAAAACAAGCCGTTAATTTAAAGACTTGTGCGTGGCTGTGTCTGTGAGTAGGGCCCCATCTCAAACCTGTGCCCCTATTGTGAACTGTCCCATGTGGCATCACAATGATTAAATTAAACATCTGTGCCACTGCCTTCCTGATTCAACATACTTGTAGAATAAATTGATTCTATGCAAATCTTGAAGCGGTTGCCATCCCTTTCCTATTGATTCAGTATCTATCCTGTCCCATTTTACTTTTCTTAATCTGTCTCATTCTTTCATAGTCTGCTTTTCTGAAACTGTGAACCGTTGTTTCAAACTTGACATATGTAAAGCATACTTTAAAGCATAACGTTGGAGGTAATAATATTGTAGCGCCCATGTGGGGCGCTGTAGCCATGCGCACGCAAGGCAGGCTGGGAACGGCGGCTGAGGGGCGGCACTGACTGCCCGTATACAGTGGGACGAGGGCTGGAAATGCCCTCTTTCCTCTTGTGTCTGCGTAGGAGTGGTGCAGTGCTGTATCTCCCCTGTCCCTTTAATAAATGCCTTGCCAACCCGCGTCAGGGCCTCCGCCTGTTTCTTTCCAGCGGCGAACCCCGAGAGCGTTACAATATATTTAAATTTCATATCATAGGCATGGTGGTGAAGAGGTTAACATTGCTGCCTTGCAGTGCTGGGGCCCTGAGGTAAAATCTAGACCTGGGATCCTATCTGTGTGAAGTTTTGTATGTTCTCCCCATGTTCAAATGGGTTTCCTCCGGGTGCTCCCGTTTCTTCCCACAGTCCAAAGACATCTCTTAGGTTAGACTCTAAGGTTAATTGTCAAAATTGACCCTTCTGTGAGTGTGTATCTGCCCTGTGATGGAGTGGCGTCCCATCCAGGGTGTACCTTGCCTTGTGCCTGTTGCTTGCCTGGATAGTCTCCTACTCCCACAGCTCTGAATTGGAAAAAGCAGATAGAAAAATGGATGGGGTATCCTAGACATTCTCTAGACCGAGACATTTGACATCCTAGGGAAAGATTACATGAGAACATAAGAAACGTCACAATTAAGAGGAGACCACTTGGCCATCTAGGAGACCACCTAGCCCACGTGGTAGTTAGTAGTTAATTGATGCAAGGATTTCATCCAGTTGTTTCTTGAAGAAAGCTTTAAGAAGATGTCCAGTGCATTGACTTTGACAGTGCCTTTGAAGATGTTGAATATTTATATTGACTCCCATCCTGTCTTCTTCATTCAAAACTGAAAAGGTTAACTTGTTTCAGCCTTTTCGCCTGTCAGTGTAGGACACTTCTTTGAGTGTCAAAATGCATCTCATTGCTCTTCTCTGGACTGATAAAAGATTTTATTGGGTTTTTGCCAAAGCCAAAACATTGCATACAATTTGAAATCATTATATCCACACAAAATTATAGCATATTGTGTTCAACACAAAAAAAAACTAACAGGTAATTATATTGTACCAATGCTACTGTTAAATTACCGTTAACAATACCAATCCTATAATAACTGAAAGTAGCTAACGTTTTAACTTTCAAACCAGAAATTAATTCTGATTTTACGTTTTGAAGGAGCCGGACACCATTTGCCGTCATTAAAAATATGCTTTTATAGCTCGAATATATTTGTTGTACAGTCAGTCAACGAAATAGCTCCCTGTTTGCAAGAAAGGTGTTGCAGGGAAAAGTATGTCTTCTGGGGCCACATGTTCTGAAATGAATGACACATACTTTGTGTACGTTTAAGAACGGCGAGTATGCTATGCTTTCTCCCAAAGCACGTCTCTAGATAACAAAGGACCATGACCGTGTCCCAGAAAAAAAAACAATCACAGCTGACTTTGATTCACTCACGTGATTTGCTGAAGCTGTGGTCACATGACCGTGCGCCGGGGTTGGCGTAGCTGTGCGTCGGAGTTGAGGATCACGTGAGGTTGTGTGCGTACGCGGCGGAGTTGGGTGTGAAGATGGCGGACGAGGAGGCCGAGCGGGATCACAGTCCACAGATCGGTACCAGCGCTGCGATTGTGGCTCTCAGAGAGCGGCTGCAGAAGCTGGCCACCGAGCTTAAGGACAGCCGGGAGTCTGCCGTGCAGTCCGCCGCTCAGTACTGCCAGGATTTCTGTCAGGTTAGACAAACGTTTCTTAAACTATTCGTGCGTGCAATCGCATCCAAAATAAACCCTCAGAAACCAGATCGTTATTATTAACCAAGCTCATTGCTGAGGAGGGGGTTGCCGGAGCCAAAGAGGGGGAGGTGCTCCTTTGTGTAGGTATAGTAAAGAGGGCAGAAAAGAAAATCCCAAGCACCGAGGCGTTATTTTCCATTTTTCCCCCCAATGAGCAGCTGCAGCCTTGTGCAGTGTGTGTTGTCGCTGCACGTCTGTTTTGATCTGCAGAAGTCAGGAGTGCAGAGCCGAGCGCCGTGCATTTTCCCAGCTTTTTGTCCTGTTCCCAGTCCTGGTGGTAGCGCTTGCCAGTCCCAGCGTGAATTGAGTTGCAGCTCCATCAAGCGATTTTTTCAAGCGCGTAGCCGTTGTAGCGCTTTGCCTTCTGTAACCCGATCTGCAGGACGTGCTGGTGTTTTACCCCGAGTCAGTGTGCTCGCGTACAGATCATTAAAGCCCCCAACTGCGTGAAACCTGGATTCGAGGCCTCCAGGATGTGTTGTGTTTTCGAGACATTTTTATTGAGCAGGGCAGCGCATTCCGGGCTGCTTGGAGGAAGAGCACGACTGTGACAAAAGATCGCGACTGCGAGGCGTTTCTTGTAAGGGCAAACCCCGCAGGTTATCTCTAAAATGGTTGAGGGTTTTGTCCTGGCGTCCGTGTTTGCCTTCTGGAGAACCGTCATCATCCAGCGTACCTTTCCCGTGTGTGCCGTCCATCGGCCTCGATTAACACAGCAGTGGGCATGGGAAGGTTTTGGGAGAGGGACTGGGACAAGGGTGAGGCGTACGTGCTGACCCCCTGGAGTTTTAATTTTTACTGACCTACATTCATCATGGAGTTCTTGGACGTTCAGTTTCGCCCTAAGATCCTTTGTATATGTAGTCCGTGTAGCTTGTGTCCTCTTGATGGCTGCATGCGTGTTTAATATCAGTTATATATTTACTCATCTAAGTGTATGTATTTGTGGTTCTACGCGTGCATTTAGAATAGCTAACGACACTAAACTGATCAGGATGCCTCGAATTTCACAAGTTGTTTTTCCCCCCTATCGTGCAGCTAAAACCTGGGGTTTTAACAAATTCAGCTGCTCTTTGTGAAATGTGTAAAAGGTTGTAAAACTGTACCACTGATTGTAAAATAGTTTTCAATGCTATATGGCTACTTTGTTTTTACCATGCTTTGTGTTCTGTGGCTCCAAGGCCATGATCTCTTTTCATTGTTAGATCTTGCAGTCAGTCAGCAATTTCAAAATTGGGCCTACAACTCTCACTTGAATGCTCTGACTTTCAGTTTTCATTTACTATATTCATCTGCCCCTGTCACATTGAGATATACCAAGAAAGGTGCATTATAAAATGAACTATATTGACCCTTACTATTTTTGAGGCATGAGTTAGAAAACAAACATTTTAGAGGAACGTGCATTCTATAAATCAATACCATAAAGAGCATTTTTAACATTTGTTTCAAAATGTTTATAGTTTAACCTTGATTTGTAGGTTGCCTGTTGCTTGAATTGTGATATTGTTTATAAATGTCATTCCTAATTTCTAAGCAAAGATCAGACCTTCGTTTAATTCTGTCATGGAACTGGATTTTGTATCTGAGGTTACGCAGTTTAAAGCTCTCTAGCAGCACTGCCTAGTCATTCCATTTTAATTTTATGTTGATAATTACAAGCTTTTTCTTATTTAATATTGGCTCTGAAGTGTAATTGATTTTGAGTGAGAAATTAAATCTTTTTTCTGTAGGTGTCAGGCAGTTTCTAGAATTGCCATCATTGTGGTTTCCTGCTCAAAGGCTATTACAAAGTAAAAGCCGTAAGGAACACTTTAATTAAAAAAGGTTGTTCTGTAACATTATGTAGCTAGACTCCGTATTTTTAAAATCATGCTTTGAATAGATTCCAGTTTTCTAAACGTATGGCCATTGGAGAATTTTGTACTGTTCACTTGACACTGTGAAAAAGTTACTTGCTGTTCAAGCAGCAACATTTAAAAAAAAATGAACATATACTGGAATGCTGACATGAGTCAAGAAGAAAGGAGCTTGACTGCTGGGGAGGGAAATAATTCCATTTTTTTTCAATGTTTTACCCCCACTTAAAAAGTGGTGTTACTGATTATCCTAGAACACACACAAAATCTCATCAGACATACGCAGCATGGTCTGTGGAACAAGTCATGACCCAAATCTGAATTAATTTATCTATATACAAAACTGGGGATGGGGTAGGACAGCTTGTTTACGTAGTGCAACCTTTGTGGTCTTGCTGTTCAGTCTCCTGAAATCCATCAGAAGGTGTGGGCCATGTGCAAGAGGCTGGCAGTGCGGAGCAGTGGTTAGGCCTCTGACTCGGGGAAGGTCAGGAGTTCACGTCCTGGGTGGGACACGGCTGCTGTGCTTTGCTGAAGGAGAGAGCATTCAGATTGCTGCAGTAAAGCAGAGCAATTACAAATCAGTAGGCTACTCTCCAGGTTGTCTTTAAAAAGGAGAATTTGGACTCAGCCAGCTGATCTGGTTAAATAAAAGATTGAAATGTTGATCAGTCTGCCTCAAAAGTTCTCTAACTTGTCAATGTGTTCCATATAGTGCCATAAAAAAAACAACTTTTATGGGTTTTATACCAGGAATTCCATTTTAATATTATTTAGATGTGAAAAACTGGGATGCTGTGATCCTTTTGTTCTGCAGCCTCTATTTAAAAAAAGTCTGGAATAAAATGCAATCGGGGGGAAAAAAGAAATTATACATTTTTTGCAATTGTAGTGTTTATATTGATTGTGGCTTGTACTGTTGCCTCGAGAGAGTCGGGCTGTAAGTCTACAAATTTATAAAGAAAAGTGATTACTTTTACAGATGATCAAATATTGTTTTCATCATAGAGGCTTTCCACCTGCTAATACTGCAAACGCCTGCAGTGCTACCTGTTCTCACTGGTTATTTTAGTAAGCTGACAGAACGTATAGGAAATCAGAATACTATATTGTCCTTAGGCAGTTGGTGTAAAGTTCATATCCTTGGAAGGTGTCAAAACGGAAGGTCTTACATTTGTCAAATTTGTCTTCAGGTGAGAATCTACATCAAGATATCATAGTTCACTGCTCCCTCAGTTAAAAGCTATTTAAATGCATGCAAGCATTTTGTTCATTAATTGAAGCCAAATTACATTGTAGGTTAGTTTTAGGATAACCTGCAGCATATTCAAACAGTAGAATAAATGTTTATAAACGTTTTCTTCCCCCAGTCTTCATGACCTGTTGCATATGCATTATAAGGGGTGCCAATGCAATTTCTGGTCTGACATACATTTTGTGTCCTTATAGCTCAGTAACCTGTAAATACTGGTAATAGTGATAGTGCTGCTGCAGTGTTTCTCAGCACTGGTCCTTAAGGGCCACGAGATCTTGAGGTTTTCTTCCCACTTTGGATTCTAATTGTGCAGTTGAGGTCTTGCCCTGTGCCTAAAGCACGTAGAATTATAAAGAGCCTAATAAAAACTCCTGAGCTCTGGGTTTCAAAGTGTGGCATTGGACACTGGTTTGGTGTGTTTAGATGTCTTGCCGAAACTACAGAGGTGTGATAGCCAAGATTCTGGATGTTATGTAATGTAAGGGGTATAACCCCGGTGTACCGGCCAAATTTCCAATTGGCCCTTACCAATCATGGCCTCCTAATAATCCCCATCTATGAATTGGCTACATTACTCTGCTATCCTCCCCACTGATAGCTGATGTGTGGTGAGCGTTCTGGCGCACTATGGCTGTCGTCGCATCATCCAGGTGGGGCTGCACATTGGTGGTGGTGGAGGGGATCCCCATTACCTGTAAAGGGCTTTGAGTGGAGTGTCCAGAAAAGCGCTATATAAGTGTAAGCAATTATTATTATTATTATTATTATTATTATTATTATTAATGATAACTTGATAAAAATGGTGGTTTCAGGTTTCCTGAAAAAACGTTCAAATTTACAGGTGTAACAGGGTCCATAGTCATAACCTGCATGTTAATAAAATCTACTTCATAATAGTGTCATCAGACATGCTGTGTTAACGGCTTACAATATTAATATTGCATGTCAGGACGAGGTCTAACACTTGAAAATCTCTATTCTGGAGCCTATGGACCGAAGGACCAAGTGTGTCCTCGGACAGACTTTAGTACAGATCGTTCTGTTGTTGTCTTTATTGAAGGTTGTCAATTTTCTGTTTCAGCTGTATAACTTGATTGGGTGCATCTGAACAGGATGTCAAAAGGTCACACGTCCTGTGATGTAATCAGTTTTCAGGAAAAGAGTTGCCTCTGGGAATGGCACGCATGCTTGTGTTTGTAAACTGTCTACATTGTTACTCCAGAATGCAGATTTGTTTCACGTATGACTTCGCTTAGATCAAGATGTTTAATGTAGTAATAGGTTTGTATAAACTCTTTAGTTTCAGAATTATCTGCAGACAGTAAGGGTGATGGTAAGAGTAAATTGAATAATTATTCTTTATTCAAGCAGCATAATAGCTGGTGTGCTATTAGTTTTTGTTGCTCTTATTATCTTTACTAAATTTATCATTTTAAATGTCCTTCGAGCCAAACTTTCAACTTCATAAAGGCAGTCTTCATTAACTAAAGTTGAAAGATGATGCTTTAATCAATTTTGTGTCACATGAATGACCCAGAAGACTTCCAAGTTAAAATGCATCATTTGTGTTCTTGCTTAAGGAAAATGAACTGGCAATTGATCTGTGACAGCAGAAACAAATGTGCTGTTTTTTCGCTTTGTTTCAAAGGATTGGTCGACTGGTATCCTGCTGCTGTGCAAGACAGCTCCTACAGCCTAGCAAATTTAGTTCGAATCAATCCGTCACTGACCAGAAAGCTGCTTATTCCAGGTTCAGACGCTGCAGATGTAATGATCAGGCCAGGAGTTCCCAGTTGGCTGAGCACCAGTCTAAGCGGAGTTATCTA